CTGCCAGCTTTCTCCTTCCCTCTCCCTTCCTTGCACGGGCATCACTTCTGCCACATATCCCCCCCCCATCTTTTAAAAATCACGCTTTTCATGGCTTTCTGTGAATTGTCAAAAAGTGGCTAAAAGACCCCAAACCTGAGGCACACGGTGCTGGGGTGGGGACACACACACACATGCAGGACCTCCCCTTTGGGGGTGCTGCCTCCCCTGCATCTCCCCCCCTGACTGCATGGGCATCACTGCTGCCACATATTTCCTCCACCCCACCCTTTTAAAAATTATGCTTTTCACGGCTTTCTGTGAATTGTCAAAAAATGGCTAAAAGACCCCAAACCTCAGGCGCACGGGGACACACACACACGTGGGACCTCCCCTTTGGGTGCTGCCTCCCCTGTGTCTCCCCCCCTCACTGCACGGGCATCACTTCTGCCATGTACCCCCCCACGCTCCCCCCCCCCTTTTAAAAATCACGCTTTCAGTCCCTCTGTGAATTGTCAAAAATGGCTAAAAAGACCCCAAACCTCAGGCGCACGGGGGGACAGACACGTGGGACCTCCCCTTTGGGTGCTGCCTCCCCTGTGTCTCCCCCCCTCACTGCACGGGCATCACTTCTGCCATGTACCCCCCCACGCTCCCCCCCCCCTTTTAAAAATCACGCTTTCAGTCCCTCTGTGAATTGTCAAAAAGGGCTAAAAAACCCCAAACCTCAGGCGCACGGATACACACACACACGTGGGACCTCCCCTTTGGGTGCTGCCTCCCCTGTGTCTCCCCCCCTCACTGTACGGGCATCACTTCTGCCCCATATTCCTCCCCCCCTTTTAAAAATCACGCTTTCAGTCCCTCTGTGAATTGTCAAAAATGGCTAAAAAGACCCCAAACCTCAGGCGCACGGGGGGACAGACACGTGGGACCTCCCCTTTGGGTGCTGCCTCCCCTGTGTCTCCCCCCCTCACTGTACGGGCATCACTTCTGCCCCATATTCCTCCCCCCCTTTTAAAAATCACGCTTTCAGTCCCTCTGTGAATTGTCAAAAATGGCTAAAAAGACCCCAAACCTCAGGCGCACGGGGGGACAGACATGTGGGACCTCCCCTCTGGGTGCCCCTGCCTCCCTGCACGGGCATCACTTCTGCCACACACCCCCCC